ATCTGAATTTGATAATGAAATTAGCATTTTTTTGTTAGGGATTTGAAATACTACCTATTAACATACCATTTGTTTAAGTATAAAAAGAATCATGAGCATCTTAACAAGAACCCATCTGAAGTGCACTTTGAAATTCTTTCTCAGAGCTCTAAAGATGCTGGTTCCAGTTACAAATCTTGCTGCCATCAAGAGGAGTGGGATCAGTCCTGTGCACTGTGCAGCAGCTGGAGCACACCCACAATGCCTGGAACTTCTCATCCAGGCTGGATTTGACGTGAATTTCATGCTAGATCAAAGAATCCGCAAACACTACGATGATCAGAGGAAGTCAGCCTTATATTTTGCCGTTTCAAATGGTGACCTCTCCTCAGTTAAGTTGCTTTTGGGTGCTGGAGCTCTGCCCAATCAAGACCCAGTTAACTGCCTGCAGATAGCTCTCAGGATGGGCAACTATGAGCTGATAAGTCTGCTACTGAGACATGGGGCCAATGTCAATTACTTCTGCAGGGTTAACCCTTTGCATTTTCCATCAGCACTGCAATATACATTGAAAGATGAAGTCATGCTCAGGATGCTGTTGAATTATGGGTATGACACTAAGCGATGCTTTGATTGTCCCCATGGGGACAAAGTCCATCATTTCTGTACATTTGAAGGCTGGACACCCACAGTTATTAAAGATACTATGGTAAGCCCACAGTGTTGGTGGTATGACCTAAGCAATCATCTGAGGCCTTGGGATATAGCAATAGACATAATTTGCCCTTGGAAAGACTCATGCTGGGAAGACTCTAGCATGATATATATGAGAAAGTAACTAAACCCAACAGTGGAAAGAGAAACAGCACAGAAACAATTCAGAGGAAAAAGTGACTTTAGTTAGAAATATCAGAAAGGTTCTCAGACTTGATCTTAGCCAAAAGACCGAGAAGCAAAGGAAGGTTCTCAAATTCAACATGAGCAAATTTTTGTTTGTTGAGACAGGGTCTCCTGGTAGCCCCAGCTGGCCTGGAACTCCCTATGTAGACCAGGCTGGCCTCCATCTCACAGAGATCCGCCTGCTTCTGCCTCTCGAGTGCTGGAATTAAAGGCATGCGACACCAAGCCTGGCTTCTACTTTCTTTTTTTAATAGAGGGATTCTGTCCTTTTTGACTAGGACATATACATGGTAGAGAAAAGGCAGGACTACAAGAAACTGGACAATGAGTAAGAAAACAAGCTCTGGGGGGGAGCACAGGCCACTCCGCCTGCTTCTGCCTCTCGAGTGCTGGAATTAAAGGCATGCGACACCAAGCCTGGCTTCTACTTTCTTTTTTTAATAGAGGGATTCTGTCCTTTTTGACTAGGACATATACATGGTAGAGAAAAGGCAGGACTACAAGAAACTGGACAATGAGTAAGAAAACAAGCTCTGGGGGGGAGCCCAGGCCACTGGGAGTCCCCAGTACTGATAGCTTTACCTCAGCCCCATTCCTGTCACTCTCTCAGACCATGCTGGGGAAAGGAGACCACCAGGAAATAAAAGATCACTTCAGGGGGCTGGAGAGATGGCTTAGCCAGTTAAAAGCACTGGCAGCTCTTGTAGAGGGCCCAGGTTTGGTTCCTAGCTCCCACATGGTGGCTACCAGCCACCTGAAACTCCAGTTCCAGAGGATCCAACACCCTCTTCTGACCTTCTAGGGGATTGTACACACAGGTGCAGTTATATACATGTAGGCAATACATTCATACACATAAAAAACAATAAAGTAGGCCAGGCGTGGTGGCGCACGCCTTTAATACCAGCACTCGGGAAGTAGAGACAGGCGGATCGATCCTCTTTGAGTTCAAGGCCAGCCTGGTCTACAGAGTGAGTTCCAGGCAGCTGGAGCTACAGGGAGACCCTGTCTTAAATAATAATAAAATAAAATATTTTTTAAAAAGATCATACTGAATAAAACAAGTTGGGCATGGTGGCACAGGCCACCTTTGATCCCAGCATTCTTAGAGGCAAAGGGAGATGGATCTCTGTGAGTTCTAGGCCAGCCTGGGCTGCACAGTGAGACTCTGTCTCTGAAAGAAGAACCTGCTGGAGATGGCTCCACAGTTAAAAGGAAGCAGAGGAGGAGTTGTCAACAACTGCAGCCAGATGTGGTGATTTATACCAGTAATCCCCACTTTCAGGAGGCTGAAACAAGATCACTGCAAGTTCTAGGCCACCCTAGGCTACAGAATGAGACCGTCTCAAAGGAACAACCAAAGGAAGTGCTATCTCTTTGTAGAGTGCCCCAAATAAATAATCCTCCACCTGGCTCTTTAGCAGTGGGGGGTGGAGTCTTGAATGAGCCATATAAACAGGCCTACAGCCCAAGGAGCCAAAATCAGAACCCTGTGCCATCCAGCAGACAACAGAATAAGGTGCCAGCCTAGAACTCTCAGGTCTACTCCTCTTGATAGGACAGTACTACCCCAAGGAATCAACCTTCCAGGCACTGGTATTTGGGCATTTGGGGCCTGTCCAAGTTATCAAGCTAACTTCCTTATCTTAGGCAGTCTCAGCAGGCGTTTAACTGCCAGCTACACGCTCTTTGCCTCTGTGCTCCTAACTCCTCCACATACCCAGACTGGCACATGTCAGATTATCAAGCATCATGTCCTACTCTCTTCTTGCTACCCATGGTCATTTTGAGAGGAAACCACCCACCTGTTATACACAGACAGGATACAACAAGCTCAAGTCTTAAAGTCCTGAAAGGACAACAGCCACTTTGATTTCAGGCCTCACACTACTGCTTTAATCTGGGAAGAGGCACCTTACTTAGCAGTGCTCTTCAGTATACAGTGGGATTCCTGCCAAATCACCTTTGACTCTCTAAGAGTGACTCCCCAAGAGAAAATGGCCTCTCCCTACTCTGTAACCACTGAGTCACAATAGAGAGCCTCTCATTTCTGAGAAATGATACCACACCTTTCCAGACACATCCACTGCACTGTATATACTAATTGTTTTCTTTTTGGGGGGTGGGGTCTTTTTGAAACAGGGTCTCCCTATAGCCCCAGCTGGCCTTGAACTCGCTATGTAGACCAGGCTGACCTTGAACTCAAGAGAGATTCGCCTGCCTCTGCCTCCTAAGTGCTGGGACTACAGGCGTGTGCCACCATGTCCGGCCTAATTATTATGCTTTAAAATCCACCTAAACCTGGAATTAAACAATACCCATTTGATATAGAAGAGTTTCCACAGATACTGAAGAATTGAAATAATTTGTGATTGTGGGCTGATTTTTAAATACTTAAAGCATGGTCAATTTTTAGCAAGAGGTTAACTGAAAAACCACCCAATTCAAACCTTCCATTTTTTGGTCTTTATTTAATGTTATTAACTGAAATTCAGCTAAAGCCCAATTAACAAAAACCTACAGCTCAAATAGATTGTATTTGGTAACACTTCCAGCAAGAAACAAAATGTATACAATGATGACTATAGAGAAAAAGTGTGCCTCATAAGTTTTGAACCATCACTACCTAAACAGAAAGTTCATTTCATGTATATAAAGAGCTGAGTACACTAGAACTAAATCCTGACAGTCACACTCCATTCTAAGACAAAGCAAGGGTCAAGTAGGTTCTAACTGTCCTGCCAGTCAGGGTTCAACTCAAAGCCTGCCTTTCTCTAAGCTATCTCTCCCTGATCCCAGCCCAAACCCCTCAGTCAACAGCCAGGGGTGTTGGACAGTGCACACAGCAGTGATACTCATCTGGGCAAAACCTAGGAGCCTTGATCCATCAGTAAGAAAGGAGCTGAAAAGGCATGGTGGTGCACATCTTTTGTTAAGGTTCAGATATCCCCGCCCCCTCACCAACAGGGTCTCAAGGACTTCTCAAGCTCCTGAGAAAAGGGAACCGAGCTGATAAGCACCCTGGTCTTTGAAGTCAAGAAAAGCAGACTTTTCTCCACTGTTTGGCCAACAGAGCAGGCTTCCCCTTTGATCTCTAAAGAGAACAGGTTTTAACAGTCCAGCTCCTGTCATCCCCCCATCCCCCCAACTTTAAAAAAAAAAAAACAAAAAACCATCTTCCCACCTTCTGCAGGAAGCAGAAGCCTCCCCCTATAAAAGACCCCAGGGCAGACATTTTCCCTGCCCGGAAGGGAATCTGTCCCATGTGTTCCTTTGCTAATAAACTATTCCAATGGTTTCATCTGTGTCCTGGTGCTTTCCCCCTATCAATTCTAGCCATTCGTTCTCTGGCTACTTTTTACCTATCACCTTTAATCCCAGCACTCCAGAGGTAGAGGCAGGCGGATCTCTGAGTTCAAGACCAGTCTGGTCTACATATTGAGTTCTAGGCCAGAAGGGGCTACAGGGAGACTGTCTCAAAAAGACCAAAAAAGAAAAAAAAAGGGAGCTGAATAGTAGCTAACACTGGGGGGTGTGGGATGCTCCAGGACAGTGTGTGCACAATATGGATTGTTTTTGAGACAGGGTCTCATTATACAGACCAGGCTTGCAGTGATCTGACGGAGATTCACTTGCCTCTGCTGGACTGGGATTACAGGATGAGCTACCACACCTTGCCAGACATGCACTCACTCATCCTAGAGAGAAACAGGCAGAGGCCTGAGGTTCACAGATAGGTGGCAAGTACCTTTACCCTACCCTTTCCTCCTTTGGTTATACAGCTAGGAAGGAGGGGGACAGGACCTGCACCCAAGGAATTTGCTCTTTCATGAATATGAAAAGCTTACCTTAACTAGTCAGTCATTTTATCTCCAAAACTGTTCTAAAATATGCCTTAAAAATTTTGCCAGGCGTGTTCAAGGACAGCTGGGGCTACAGGAAGACCTTGTCTCAAAAAGACCCCCACCCCCACCCCAAAAAAAGTTTTTTGCCATGCTGGGAACTGAATAAAGGTAGGAAAACATGATACCACTGAGCCACTTCCTTGGCCCTGAAATACACTTCTTAAAATGCAGAGCAAGCTGGGCAGCACTTGAGAGGCAGAGGCAGGCGGATCTCTGTGAGTTTGAGGCCAGCCTGGTCTCCATAGTGAATCCAGGCCAGCTGGGGCTACAGGGAGACCCTGTCTCAAAAAGAAGAAGAAAAAAAAAAAAAAAAAGCAGAGCAAGCATGTATTAGAGAAACAAATGAACCTAGGCAAAGTTCTGTGAGATCAAGGCCAGCCTGGTCTACATAGCTTAAGTTCCAAGCTAGCTGGGACTAAGTCTCAAAAAAACCAAAACAAGCCCCACCCCCAAAGCAAATGACACATGAAAGACAACTAGCTGCTCTGAGCCCTGCCACTATCTTCCATGTACCCAGTCTTGCCAACTACTACTATAATCATTTAGTTCTCACACAGAAGCAAAAGGTATCTAATAAGTTCCCTGGCTGGACACAATACAAGAATTTTACAAATAAAACCTCAATTTATACTAAAAAGATGTCCAACTGAAGCCAAAAACTATAGAAAAAAGATACTAAGCTGGGCATAGTGGCTCACACCACACCTTTAATCCCAGCACTCTGGAGGCAGAAGCAGATAGATCTCTGGTTAATTCCAGGACAGTCAGGACTACAAATAGAAAGATCCAGCATCAAAAAAAAAAGGGGGGGGGGGGCTAAATCCTGAGATTAATTACGGATCCAGTTTAAAGAAACTTTTTTTGTTTTGAGACAGGGTCTCATGTATTTCAGTCTGGCCAGAAACTCACTATGTAGTCAAAGATGACCTGAGTTCTGGTCTTCCTGCCTCTACCCTGATTATAGGCATGAGCCACCATACCCTGTTTATGGGGTGCCAGGGATCAAACTCAAGACTGTACATGCTGGGCAAGCATAATATCAACTGGGCTACATCCCCAGCCCAAGAAACCTTAGTAACTGCTTAATTTTTTTGAGACAAGGTCTCATGCTATAGCACAGGCTCATCTCAAACACGTGGCAATGCTTCCTGGGCCTCCCAAGTGCTGGCATGACAGGTGTGACACACCAGGCCCAACCTAACTGCTTGATTTTCTGATTTAAGACCATCCCAAAGCAAGCCATCTTCAAAGTAAGTGCTGCTAAAAATGGCTTTGCAAAACAGAAATCAGACAGTACCTGTTCTGTGTGGTTGTCCTAAAACTAAATGAAAGAATTTAAAATGCAAAGGGCTGAATAACTGGTTATATTAAAAAACTAAAATTCTGGCTTTCAATGAAGGGGCTATTTAATACTGAAGTACCTTTACTTACTGTAACCACACACCCATCATGGCAACACAAGCAAAGCTGTGGGCATAACTCAAGAATTATATGTTCCATGGGACACGTTAAATATCAGGTGCAAGCCTTACTGTTTGCGGATAGGAGAGGGGGCGCAATCTGTCATAATCTTCTTGTCCAGCTGTATCCCATAAGCCCAGATTCACTGGTTTTCCATCTACCATAACATTGGCAGAATAGTTGTCGAAACTGTAGAAGAAGATAAGAAAAGGTTAGTCATAGACAACCTAGGACCTGAGTCACTGTCCCAGCAACTTTCCAGAGGTATGTTTCCAAGGAAGAGATCAGCCTGCAGGCTGCCAGGCCAGTCAGAAAAGTACACAGGGAACCAACCGAACAACCTGAAAGACAAGCAACAAAGGGCAAGCTACTAAACTCAACTGAAACAAACGAAAACACAAAAATAAAACAAATTTTGCCTTTACTAAACAAAAAGGTTTTGTTCTCCAGGAGAAAAGAAAGTGTAGAATGAGTCCCTCCTCCAAATTCCTCTTGCCAAGTTCTTTGTGTATGTAATTTCCTCATCTATAACAAGTGTTCTTTGGTAAAGTCTGGGTCACATGTACCTACAACCAAAGTGCAGCAGTAACACAAAACATACCTGATCTGAGAAAATGAGATCCCTGACCATGTAAATGTAGCTTAAATTAGTCATAATCTCAAATACACAAATTAGTTAATTACAGAAAGAGGCAACCCAGAAAGGCCTACTGGCTAACAAGAGGAAAATAGGCTGATAGAAAAGCACTACTGGCAGGTGTGCTGGAGCACGCCTTTGAACAGCACTCAGGAGGCAGAGACAGGCAGATTCTCTGTGAGATAAGAGGCCAGCCTGGTCTACATCGTTAGTTCTAGGTCAACTGAGGCTACAGAGAGACCTTGTCTCAAAAAAAGTGCTACTGATAGGTGGTCATGGCAGTACATGTGGCTGTAATCACAACACTCAGGATAGGCTGAGGCATGAGGATCACTGAGAGTTCAAGGTTGACCAGACCATGCTACAGGCCAAGACCTTGTTTCAAGACAAAACAAACCAAAAAACATCAATTTTAAGGTAAAAGTATTAAGGTTAAGGATTCATTTTTATGTATTTGTAGTATTTAAAATTACAGGGCTTTGACTATTAAGAACAGAATCAAAGTTTAAGTGAGTTCTAATGTGATCTATAGAAGGTAATGACCAAACCAGCTTTTGTTAAGAAAATGTTTAACCAGGTATGGTAGTATACAGCTATAATCTCAACACTTAGGAAGCCGAGGTAAGAGGGTCAAGAATTGAAGGCCAACCTTGGCTACATAGTGAGACACCAGTGGAGAAGATGAAATAGATGCTTGCTTTATGCACTACCAAAAATGAAGAGAAAAACTTTAACCACAATTCTATAAATAAGACAATTCTTGCTTTATTTAAGTACCAATGGTTTCCTCAAGCTCCACATAACTCAGGAGTGGGAGGGGTAGAATTATTTATATTTAAACATTAAAACTTCAGAACCAGGGTTTAGCTCAAAGATAGAGCACTTGGCACACACATTCAAGACCCTGGGTTCCAGCCTAGCACCAAATGAAAGGAAGCAGGTGGTGTTTATAGAAGGTTAGACAATACCCTAAGTTCAAGACAAAAATGAGAGATGGTAGACTGAGTATTTATAAGAAGTTCCACCAGTAGAGGCTGGAGAGTTGGCTCAACGGTTAAGAAACTGACTGTTGCAGAAGACCCAGGCTCAAACCCCAGCACCCACATGGCAGCTAACAGCTGTCTGTAACTCCAGTTCCAGGGGATCCGACAGCCTCTTCTGTCTTCCAGGCATCGCACAACACGAGTGCACTTACCTATATGCAGACAATACATGCATACACATAAAATTAAATACTTGAAAAAAATATATATAAAGAAGCTCCACCAGTATGAAGAATTTTCAATAAAAAGAACCAAAAGATTTTGGCATGCAGTTCACGGAAGGCTTTGGACAGATACGCTTCAAGACTCTACCTTTACAACAGGGCATGGTGGCGCATGCCTTTAATCCCAGCACTCCAGAGGTAGAGGCTGGGGGAATCTTTGTGAGTTCAAGGCCAGCCTGGTCTATATAGTGAGTTCCAGGATAGCTGGTGCTACAGGGAGACTCTGTCTCAAAAACAGACCAAAAAAACTGCCAAAAAACAAAAAAACAAGACTACCCTTACTAATGATCAGAAATGTAAACAATGAGGTCGTTTTCATCCCACACTAATCAGGCTCTACCAGGTGCAGCTGGCAGTCATAGACAAAATTTCAAACAGCATTTTGGGAACAAAAGTTTAGTATCTTTTTTAAAAATAGTTGGCACCGGGGTATTGTAAAATTTGGACTTTTGGAGTTTTTGTTTTTCTAAGGGTGTCACTGTATAACCCTGGATGGCCTAAAACTCACTATGCAGACCAGGCTAGCCTTGAACTCAAGAGATCTGCTTGCCTCTGCCTCCTGCGTGCAAATTTTGGATTTTCTCAGATTATAAGGGGGAAAAAATTACATATATATATATATATATATATGGCTATATTGGTAAAGACCAAGTATAAATATCAAATTTATTTATTTAGTTAGGTAGTTTTTTTGGGTCTTTTTGAGACAGGGTCTCCCTGTAGTCCCAGCTGGCCTGGAACACAGAGATCCACCTGCCTCTGCCTCCAGAGTGATGGGATTAAAAGCATGTGCCACCATGCCCAGCCTCAATTTATTTTTATATGCTTCTCAAGCACATACACAATCTAGAGGCAAATTGTTTGAATTTTGATCATTACTGACTGTGTATATGTGTATGTAGATGTGTGTAAGTGAGGGTACACCTGTGTGGAGATCAGAGGACAACTTTCAAAAACCAGTTCTCCCTTTCCATCCACTACGAGTGGGTTCTTGGGATTAAACTCAGGTCATCTGGCTTGCGTGGCAAGCACTTACTCTTTATTTGCTAAGCTGTCTTGTCCTGGAGGTGATTTTTACACCATTTATAATGTATATATGAAGTTGGAAGTGGTGGTGCATGACTTTAATCCAAGCACTCAGTAAGCAGAAGCAAATAGATCTCTATGAGTTAAGAGATGGATTTCAGTGGGAAATGTATGAAATTAAAATAGAAGAGGCCAGCCTGGTCTATATAGCAAGTTTCATGCCAACCAGAACTACATAGTGAGACCCTGTCTCAAAAAAATAGACATAGCCAGGCGTGGTGGCACATGCCTTTGCTCCCAGCCCTTGGGAGACAGAGGCAGGGGAATCACCTCTGTGAGTCCAGGCCAGCTGGGGCCATAGGAAGACCCTATCTCAAAAAGACTTAAAAAACAAAACAAAACAAAAAACAGGCAAAAAAAATAGTGGTTTTAAAAATTTTAACTTTGAAATTTTTTATTTGACACAATTCAGTTCTAGTTATCTGTCGTGTGTACAAAGGCATGTGTAATGGCATTAACATAGCACAGTAATTCAAAAAAAAGAGGGGCCAAGAATCTCAGTGCATCAGTTAGGACCTCAAAGTTAAGACTCTTCAATGACTTTATTCTCTGTATACACATAGATAAGGACAATCCTCTATCATAAACAGAAAGTTTCTGCTTACACGTTTTAAACTTACAGGACATTTCAGGGAGCACTTAGTGATGTGCTGTGTCAAGTGGGGCACGACTGAAGGGCTTGTTCTCCCCCAGGTTTGCAGCCACAGTGGCAAAGGAAGACAGTTATGAGGATAGGGCACATTGCAGCCACAGGGTGGAGCTTTATGAAGCTCTCAGTAACCCATCATCAGAAAAGCACTTTCTCCCTCCACCTGATTTTGCTGCCCATAGGGAATGAGCAGCCCAAGTCCTCCCCACACCTACACCCTAGCCTCAACCCCATAGCCCTGTAACAATGAGGTGGAACCAACCGATGACTTTGCAAAAGGCCAATGGAAACCTAATGTAACTCCACACTCCAGTACCAGAGCCCAATCATTGGAGCACATGCTGCCAAGGACTTTCTTTGCTCAGGCTCCTTTGCTCCAGCTCTTGCTTTCTTTACATTATCCAGCCTCTGTAATTCAGTTAAATTTCTATTACTTCCTGAATGTCAACAGGAAAACCAGGAATATTGGTTTATTCCCTCATAAGAAAATAAAGGAAACTGTACTTTAAACTGGCTTTTATTTTTAAAGTTCCAAATTCCTAACAATTATATTCTAGTCAATGTTAAGAGAGGAAAATAAACATGGATCAGTTAATGTAAGGATCAACAAGGGCTTTAGAGCCAAACAAACAGCCTAAGAAATCAGAACAGCAGCAGGCTAGGTTGGCTCCCGGCCTGAGACTTACACAGTGGGGATGTATTCTCCAGGGAACGCATTGGTTGTGTAGCTGATGAGCAGGCACGTTTTACCTACAGCTCTAAAGGGAGAGAAGAAAAGCTGCTTAGTCAACATGAATGCAATCATAGTTTTCATGACTCTGCTACAATTTCTAGAAAAACCAAGAAATACCCATACCACATTCCTACGAGTCAACATTTCTGTAACATTTAAACACCACACACATTTTTATCTTAAAATTCTAAAACAAATTAGGATTCCTCAGAAAGGCAGATTCAGAAACCACCACTGTAAGCATTTGGCATCAGGACCAGCAGTCAAGAAATACATGTGAAGAACAAGATTCAGAGAACATTTTAAAGTGGCTTCTTAGCTGACCATCTATTGAGGCCCTTCACAAAGCATACTGATACTAACCTGTAAAGACGGTGGCCTCTGCAACTACCTGTTACTTTCTCAGCTATGCTTTAGTCACTGCCTAAGTGGCACAATTCTCCAACTCCTATCCCCTCCCTAAGTCTTCCCTGTAACCAGCAGTGACTATTATCAGGACTGAACAGTCAACCAGCCCCTGGCTCTCATTCATCTGTATGCACCTGTCACTTCCCCACCCCAAATCTTACTGCAAGCTTTCAAAGCAGGAGCTAGCACCATCCATCCTAAGCATGTTAATCAGTGCTCAGGGATAGAATAAACTCTTCAAGCAGGTGCAAAGAGAAAGTAAAGGAAGCCCATAGAAGCAAAACTAAGTTACAGATCATACTGTGTTATCACCAGCTTACCCTTGGGCAGAAGTTACGGTAGTGGCTGAAGGCACCCAACCACTTGAGAATTTTGAGAATATACCTAAAAGTGTGACAAGTTTTACAACATTCCCTAACTGACTTAGGGGTTTCTGAGTCCCCAGCATCCTCAAGACTCAGTTCATCAAATGTTCTCTACAATAAGCCCAGCTCCATGTTGTCTTCTGTTAGTTTACCAAGGTCAAGATGGCACAGTGGTATTGATTTGCCACCGTAAATAATTTTCAACATGAAGATGGTGAGCTGCCTTTTTTTTTCATTTTTCTTCCCGTTGTGTAGGGCTAAGGTAGAGAGGTAGGGTACTGGCCCACTCAGTCTTGCCAATATACTTGTTTTACTGTAACATTGTAAAAGGCTTATTAAAAGTTGGAACTGCCCACCACAAAGAGCTCACTATCAAACATTACATCACCAGGAGGTAACTCCAATTCCTAAAGGCTTTCTCAACAGAAATGACTCACCGAACATGCATCTTGTGAAAGTCTTAGAATGTCACAACAAACCTGCATGAGCAAAAGCCTAAGATCCAGAGTGAGGGGTCTGGATTTGAAATCCAACTCTGTAATTTTTTTTTATTTTCTGGCACATTTTAACTTCCTTTTATGCCTTAGTTTCTTACATGTAAAATTATGCAAAATTTCTCTTTCCCCAAACTACAGAGTGCATTCATTGAACTGCAATTTATCACAAGTGTGTACTACGTGAAGAAAGGCACTCGCTAGAGACACTGCAGTGAACAGGACCTCAGGAAAAGCTGAGAGCAGAGCAGTGGCTCAGGTCTGTCATTTCAGCACTTGAGGGCTGAGACAGGTCTCCAGGTCACCAGGGCTGCACAGCGAGTCCCTCTACAACTAGGGCTACATGGTAAGACTCTAGTTCAAACCAACAAAAAAGAAGAGCTGAATTGTGAAGGGAAGGGAGTAAAGGAAACATGGAGATGTGAACATAATGGAGATGTCATAATGAAACCTCTTACTTGGTATAATTAATATATAATAAAATTTAAGACGTTCAGCTGGAGGAAGGCTGGAGAGATGGCTCAGCAGTTAAGAACACTGGCAGTTAAGAGCACTGGCAGAGGACCCAGGTTTGGTTCCCAGCACCTACATGGTGGCTCACAACTATCGGTAACTCCAGTTCCAGGGGATCTGTCCCCTTCTTCTGGCCTCTGTGGTTACTACATACACAGTATACTTACATACATGCACACACAAAATTCATACATATAAAAATAAAATTTTTAAATTTCAGCTGGAACTACAGCTCAGTGGCAGAATGCCTGACTAGGATGCACAGATTCTGTGTTCAAACTCCAGAACTTTGAAGTAAATAGTAAATAAAGCTATAAAGCTCCTTTTCCTGAATCTGAGGCATCACTTATCACCACCACCATCCCCACCAGTACACTTATCAAGCCTAACTACCATTGAGCTCTATCCCCACCTAAAAGTATCATTTTTTTAAAGGTTCATTTGGGAAAAAAAAATCTGGTATTAACTGAGAATTTTGTTTTGTTAAGATGCCTCACTGCATAGCCTTGTTGGCCTTAAACTCACTATGTAAAACCAGGCTGGACTTGAACTTGTGGAGATGCTCTTATCTCTGCTTCCTCAGTGCTGGAATTATAGGTCTGAGTATATGGCTGAGAATTTACTTATCAATCATTACTGACTATAGTTTATGTTCTATAAAACAGGACTGAAGGGCAGGTCAGTTGGTTAGAGTGTTTGCCTAGCATGAAAAGTCCTGGGTTTGCTTCCCAGCACTGAATAAAACCAGGCAGGGTAGCATATGTCTGCAATCCTGGTACCAAAGTAGAAGCAGACAGGATCAAAGTCAAGGTATTCCTTGGCTGTATAACAAGTCCAGTCTGGGCTACGTGAGACCCTGTCTCCATAAGCTTTACACTAAATTCTTCTAAATCTTTCATTTTTTGAAACACACAAATAAATAAATAAATAAATAAATAAAAAAATGCAGCACTGAGCGCCTTGCACACTCAGGGTCTTAACGTTACAGCCTCAACCCAGGGCTCCGAGCCTTAGGTGATATGCAGGACTTTGGTATGGTACTGCAAAAGGTTTTCTTCCTGCGTTTTCCCTCACTCCATACAAACATGCCACCATTTGAAACATGAAAGAAACCGCAGAAGCTCAGCTTTGCCTTCTGGTTTCTTATTCTCGGGAAGCAAGGGCAATTTGTTGTAAACACATTTACTGGGACTACAGGCGTGCGCTACCATGCCTGGCTGAAAAATATTTTAATTTTATTATTTTATGTCTAAGTGTTTTGCCTACATGTTAAGTGCACTGTGTGCAGTGCCTGTGGAGGCCAGAAGAGGGCGCAGGATCCCCTGGAACTGGAGTTATGGACAGCTGTTAGCTGCCATATGGGTGCTGGGAACCAAACCTGGGTACTCTAGAAGAGCAGCCTTAAATGCTGGGCCATCTCTCTGGGCCCCTTAACTAAATTCTTTTTAAAAATTTTATTTATCAATTTTATTTTCTGTGTATGAGTGTATTGCTAAGCATACCTGTGTCCTGAAATGCCCACAGAGGTCAGAAGATGGTGTTGGATCCCCTGGAACTGGAGTTACGGGCAACTGTTAACCACCATGTGGTGCTAGAAATCAAACCTGGGTTCTCTGCAAGAGCAGCCAGTGCTCTGAATTGCTGAGCCATCTCTCCAGTCCCTTAACTAAATTCTTAAAAAAATTTAGCAGGGCATGTTGGCGCAGGCCTTTAATTCCAGCACTTGGGAGGCAGAGGCAGGTGAATCTCTGTAAGTTTGAGGCCAGCCTGGTCTATCCCTACAACTCATTAAGTAGAGCAGGCTGGCCTCAATCTCACAGAGATCCTAAGTGCTGGGATTAAAGACATGTGCAACTACACCCATCTTAAATTCTTTATTAATAAGTGGATTTATCATTTCTTGTAAACAACATGGCATAAAGCAACTCTAGAAGACAAAAGTCAACATATATACTAGGGGAAGTAAAAGATGTATCCACATGGAGAGTAGAAGCCACAGGCATGACTGATGCTGCTATGGTTTCTAGAAGTTACAATTTGCTCTGGAATTTTTCAAATTTATATATCTAAGTGCTCACTTCAGCTTCTATTTAATCCTTGAAAGATATTGTAACTCTAGAAACTGAGCATGGTCTGCTGGAAGAATGTTCCTGTCAGTTCCAAATGGGATCTTCCCCTAGCTCATGACAGCACAATTTTTTTTAACCTATCTGCACTTCCCCTGCCCTATCCTGTGGAAAAGACCAAGATTAGACAGTAACTTATGTTCCTACTGCAAGCTTTACTATCCCTTTAAGAGAACTTTATCCCATCCCCTCCACTTTGACCAACCTGAGTACTGCTTCCTGAAATGTACAAACCAAACCTTAAGACACACAATCAATACTCTGGAAACTGACAATTTCCTCACATTAAAAAAAAAAAAAAAAAAGTATGTAAGGGGGCTGGAGAGATGGCTCAGTGGTTAAGAGCATTGGCTGCTCTTGCAGAGGACCAAGGTTTGGTTCCCAGCACCCATTCACATGGTGGGTAACAGCTACCCATAACTGGTTCTAGGGGATCCGATACCTCTTCTGACCTCTATGGGCATTGCATGCATGAGTACACTCATTACATACAGGCAAAACACATAAAATCAAAATAAATTATTTAAAAAAAAATATGTAACAGAGGCAGGTGGATCTCTGTGCGTCCAAGGCCAGCCTGGTCTATATAGTGAGTTCCAGGCCAGCTGGGGCTACAGGGAGACCCTGTCTCAAAAAGACCAAAAAAAAAAAAAAAAAAGTAAGAGGGCTGGAGAGATGGCTCGGTGGTTAGGAACACTGGCTACTCTTGCAGGGGACCTGGTTCTGTTCCCAGTACCCACAAAGCAGCTAACAACTGTCCGTAATTCCAGTGGTATACACACATACATGCAGGCAAAACACTCATACACATAAAATAAAAATACTTTAAAAAAATTTTTAAAAGAAGGTATGTAAGAAAATTGGGTCTGTCATTCCAGCACTTGGGAGCCTAAAGAGGACTGCTGCAATTTCAAGACCAACCCTGGGCTACACAGAAAAATCTTGTCCAAAGAGGGAGAGTGAGTGACAGAGAGCTCCATCTACAAGCTGTACCACAGTGGTAGAGAGCTTGCACAAGACTCTGGATTCCAGCACCACAGAAGAAAGGAGGGGAAGGGAAGAAAGGGGGTAATGGGAGGTGGATCTAAGAAGCATAAAGTATCCTTGTAATGCTATTAA